GCACCAACAGGTTGGTGTCACAGCCTCAGAAGAACTCAATACCTCCACAAAGTGGGTCAGCTGTTACTCAGAAAAATATCCTTTGTTTGTTCTTTATTGTTGAATGTTAGGAGGGAGAGGATGCTGTCCATTTTGCCAACAGAGTGAAATCTGCCATAGCTCACCAAGGAGGACTGGTAGACCTTCAGTGGTAAGCATTGACCTCTTTTCTTTGTAAACGACCTCAAACAGTTGAAGCTTTATTCCTAAACTTACAAGTAAAACTCAAACTTTAAAACAGTTGACACCTTTACATCTCAGACAGTGAGAGTTACAGTAGGTTTGAAACGTTGAATTGATCTTTGGCTCTGCAGGGACGGCGGTCTGAAAAGGGCGAAGGTGAAGGACACGTTTAAGGAGCAGCAGCAGAAAAAGTACAGCAGCATGGTGGTGGGAGACGACAGCAACAGCAACAGTGACTGAGATCAACTTTCAGCACAAGGGACAAGACCTCCATCTTGTTTTGACATGATGGAAATAGACAAATTTACTCCTTGGTTTTCACATTATCTGGACACCGTGAATGCCCGAATGGACTTAATAAGGAGCAGCTAAGTGGAAACTAAGCCAGTGACATTATGTGCAATATTGAAGCTGCTAGAGCAGAAAAAAGGAACTGCCTTGCTGCTTATCTGTTATTGCAATTGAATATTATTGCTGCAAAACTTCAGTGTTTGGACTGAAATGTGTGTTTGAAGAAAACTGATTCGTGAAATGGTTCTTTTCTTACCTTAAGAATTTTAGTTTACAGATTGCATGTTATGTGTCATTATGCAAGGGTCTAAATAAGACCTGTTTATTAGTTCACATGATCAGGAGGGGGAAAAAAACTGTGTTATTTAAAAATAGAATCACCTTTGTATATTTATTATGCAGTTTAACTGCAAAAATAGCACTGATAAATAACAGAAATCTGTTATGATTTCCACTTAAGTGCCAAAGAAACACTGAAATCTTACTGAGTATTTCTTACCTAAAATGGAAAAGGGTCCTCCCGACTCTTAAAAGTAAAAACAAATCACAGACAAAAATAGATGCAAAAGGTTTTATCCTGAATGATTGATACTATGCATAACAATCCAATCGACTGAACATCAGGGTGAAGTGTTGGTTTCACAGTATAACACACAGCCTTGTTTCGGGTCTTTGTGCTGCTACTGCCGCTGCTGCTGCTGCTGCTGCTGTTGCTCTTGCTGCAGTGTTGTCCACGCATCGCTGGCAGATGCTTGTCTGAGTTGTTTTCTCTCTAGGAACTGAAAGCAAATTTAAGAAAAACAGATGTTTCTTCTAATTGGACGCTTACATAAGGTCATAAAGGTTGATTAATGCTTAAATCAACTGGCAGTTCTGCATGAATCCTCAACCACAATCCCCAAAGTTGTCATCAGTCATCAACAATATTTTGGTGCATCATGCTGGAACTTTGTCTGTCCTTTCTAGCAGAAATGGTAGAATTCATTTAAATTTCTTTATATGCAGTGCAGACCTTTCTTTGTGACAGAACATATTTATTCAACTGGAATGACGTTTGGGGACACCATTCCAGAAGTTTCATCTGTCTCTCTGTTGATTTGAGGTACAGTTTGAGTTTGAAGTTAGTCATTCTTTATTACTACACCGATGTTGCAATATGCAGCAGAACAGTCCTAAACATGATGCCTCCACCAATATTCTCAATAATGTGGTACATTATTTTCCAGATTTGAAAGCTTCAATTATACTCCTCCAAAAAGCATTCTTATTGTTTCCCATATGCTCAAGTTTAGCTTTTTCTTTAAAATGTTTTTTTTTTTTTTTTTTTAATGACTGAGCTGAGTCTGTTCCAGGAAACCAATCAATTTAAATTCACTCTACCAATTTTCCCAAGAATTGTGCTTTAGAAATATTCTTGGGGCTTGTTAGTGGATTCAAAAGTCAACAAACATTGGAGAGAGCGTGAAAGGCTGGATGAGCTGTCTAAATGATAATACATGTTATAAACGTCTTTCTTGACACTCAAGGACACTATGAAAAAAATCCTTAAATTCAATTCAAAGTAAAATAAAATTAATTGAATAGCAAGAGCAGAAGGCATCAGATAGATGCCTTCTGCATCTATCTGATGCAGATAGATGCATCAGATGACCCAGAGATGACCCTCATCTCTGGGTCATCTCTGACCCAGAGATGAGGGTCAGTGCAGCTGAATGCTCTATGACCTGTAGTAGTGAGACGGGCAGACCGGTGAATGGAGAAAAAGGACCCACTTCTATTCACAAAAAGATCTATCTTCATGTTCTTCGTGTGAACATAAACAAGGTCAGATGGATATGGAGGAGCAAGTTCATGAATGGCCTTAAATATTGATAAAAGGATTTCCTATTGAATATGAGCTCCACTGGCTGATATAGCTCCATTAGCCAGTGGAGCTAATGGAGGACATTACTGATGTGATAAATTAATAAATCGTTAAATCCTCCATATCGAAATTGATGGAAAATTTGAGTTGATACTTTCTGTGTGTATCTGATAATTTTCTCACCTTGAAGGCCGAGGTTAGCTGGGATTTTGCACTGTTGGATCAAAAGAGATAAAATGTACAGATCTTGTGTCTACATGCACAGGAGTGATAAGAAAGCCTCTAAATCATGATTTCACCTACCTCTATGGGACAGGGGGTCTTCGGCGGCACATCTAAGCTAACTTTAAGTTCCTCAAACCTGTTGAAAGCAGAATACACACACTCACACACAGGTGGTAAAATAAGCACTGGGCATGTCAATGATTTCTAGTAGGGCCATTTACATAAATTTACACCAGTTCTTGGCAACAGTTTGCAATAAAGTCAAAGAAACCAGCTCAAATCTGCCGAATTTAGAAAGCATTCCTTCTTCTGTTACGAGTAAATCAATAGCAGCTGCTTTAATATTAACAGCTGGCCTGTAAAAAGGCTTCTCATCACCAAGGTATGGTGGAACAATAATATCAAAAAGACCTTCACAAAAATTCTTATTATTGTAAATCTTACTGTTAGTATTCCCATGAGTGTCTTTGGAGCCTTAATCCGCAAGTGGAAACATTTCACCACAGACCTGACACAACCATGTGTCCCTCATCATATTTCTGATGTAGGAGTCAATTCAGCTCAAAAACACTTTATGAATCCCAACAGTAAATCAAATAAAAGAATAATTAAAAGTGCCATCCACAAGATTGCTGCGCAAAACTGCAGAAGAAGAAGCTTGAAACTTGCATAAAGGTTGCTGCAGAAGATTTGGACAAACCAGTGAAAGAATGTTCTCAGATAAAGTCAGAGCAGAAATATTTTGATGTAATTGAACACATGTTTGGAGGGAGAACACATCTACGAATCACCTCAAAATCATCGTCCTAAAGGGGAAGATTGCAGCTGCAGACGTCGTGTGGTACAGCATGTGGTACTGGCAGGATTCCCAGCCGCACAATATTTGTCTTAAAAGAAATATTAAACTGCCAGAATGGCCTAGTCAATTACCTAACTTATCTCCAGTTAAAAATCAGTGCAAATAAAAGATTCCTAGATCTTTTAAGATTTGAATTCGGCTTTTGTGGTAGAATAGATCAAAATCCCACATTAGCAAGGTGGTTAGTTATTTCTTTACTAAAGATATCTTCAAGTTATCATTACCAAGAACGACATCTTTAGACTTATTTCCTGCACCATTTATAATTCTTAACCAATCCTTCTTTTGTAGACTAATGTGCTTCAAATTATTTCCTTATTTGGGTTCTTGCTGACATCTGGTGTAAGTTTTATGTCAGTGGTCGAACAGCTGCTGCCAGAATAAATGTTTGATGCCGTAATGAGCCCTGCGACTGACTGGCGACCTGTCCAGAGCGACCCCGCCTCTCAACCGGAACATCAGCTGGAGAGGCACCAGCACCCCTCCCGTCCCCACTAAGGGTCAAGGGTGTAAAGAGGATGGATGGATGGATGGATGGATGGATGGATGGATGGATGGATGGATGGATGGATGGATGGATGGATGGATGGAAATTAGCTCCTTTAATTAGCTCCTTTAATCCAAAGAGAAAAAGATATGGAGCTTGAAGGCTATGCCAACTATTTGTACAATAATGATACTGATTTCAGCAAAATAACAAAAAAAATCAACAATGCTCAAAGATAGTTAAAATAAATCAGCAGGGAGCAGCAGATTTGCAATAAACAAAGCACTGAAAATGCAAAATATCTGGCCCTTTTTCTTATTTATGAACATAAACTGCTTCAGCGAGTTAACTGATTCTCACCTTATCATACACGTCTCATCCTGATGCTTTAGTTTTCGAAACTTCAGTGAATCTGGGTCCTTATTATTGTTTGGATTCGATTTTACATCTAGGTTGGTTTTTTCTGTCTGCACAAGAGGCATTTCTGCCAGCAGAACCACAGAGGTTAGAAACAAAATGGAGGGGAAAAAGGAGGCGACAGTAAAAGAAGCATACCTTCTTCTTTGCAATGGTGACGTTGTGAAAAGAAGAAACTGCAAATATTCCCAACCAAGGCAGTTGGGCTTTAATTCATGTGTTGGAAAATTTGGCTAAGGAGTTTATGGAGCTGTTTGTTTTCGAATCCATGGTAACAGAGCCACCAAACAAAAACAAAACAAAACGAAAAGATTCTAAATAAGGATCTTCAAACACGTATTACTTTACTGAAATGAACCAGTACAATCAACCTTTCACCCGAAGGAGCGAACACTGCTTAGAGCTTTATTGATCTTTTTCGTTGTTCTGGAAACATTCATTTTTGGAACACTTTTTCATATTAGTATGTAGCCTACAGGAGACCTTTCCATCATTATCTGCAATAACTCTTTTGAAGAATTGGAATTAATATGAGTTACAACAACATTTCCCTTTGGAATCAATTAAATATCTTATGCTTTCAGGTTTGTTTCAAACTCGAAGAAGTTAAGAGCATTTTTGAGACATGTCAGATCCTATCAAATGGGATGTATTTATTTGCAAATCAAATCACCAAATCATTTCCAAACCACATAATAATTTTTCTAATTGTTTATTCATCTCATTTTGGGAGGGGAGTCCAGCACTTTATTTTGAATGTCTTTCAGTACAGCATTTCCTCAAAAGAACAGAAGGGCAGTTGACGTAATACACCACTTTAAATATCTTTAAAAAAATCTACTTTATCTCCAATAATCACCAGTGTGAATTATTCCTCAGCAGTAGCCATGTTTCTTGACTTCACATATGGCCTATTATGATTCCTCCTTTTCATCTCCATGTGTGATGATATAGCAGAGTTGCTTGTAGTCGATGTTTCCGATTGGGTCAATTGGTGCCAAAGTGAATGCCTGTTCCACCTACATGTTGATGACAAGATAACCTTTATGCTTAGTGTTACCAAATTTTTATAACTTTGTAAATGAAAATAAAACAAAACAAAAAAAAACTGACCTCTTCTGCCGTGAATTTATCAGCCTGATTCATCAGTAATCGTTTAAACCTAAAAATAAAAAAACAACAAAACAAACAAACATAAAGAAACAATAAATTCTAAATCTAATATGAGCAATGTTTTAGAACCAAACAGTAAAATTAATCTTACTCATCCTTATTAACAAAACCTGTCCCATTGGGGTCAAAAGGTTTGAAAGCAGCAAGTATGGTGTCTTCAGGATCGGTCCCTGAAAGGTGATAAAGAAAATCATTTGAGACTTCCTCAAAGAAATTGAGGAACTCTCAGATAGATCAGTAGTGATCTATTTTATTTAGATCACTACTATACAAGTCCCTTACCGTTGAGTTTCTCCCCAAAAAGTGTGAGAAACACAGTAAAGTTGATCGGACCCTTCCCTTCATTCAGCATCTCTTCCAGCTCCTCATCCTTAATGTTAAGTTTTCCTGGTGAGCACACAATAAGTAAGTCTGATTAAAATGAGCTCAGCAGGTACAGCAGGTAGCTTAGTGGAGATTAAAAATGATTGTTAATTCAATACTCATACATCTATTAACATGCCCTAAGTATACAAATTAAATTAGACACCGAGTTGAGCGTAGGTCTCCTTCAGGTCCTGCTTCTTGATTACCCCGTCCCTGTCCTGGTCAATGCAGCCAAAAGCCTGCAGAAAAAATATTAAGATGTGAAAAAAGAAACGATGATTTTAACTACAATTAGGTCTAGAAGGAAATAACTATTTCATTCAAATTACAGTAGAGATTATTAAAACTACACATTTTTTAACCCCTTCTGAATAAATGTAATTTTAGCTGCATTTGGAACTCTGCTGTACACAAAAATAAAAAATAAAAAAAACTAGGGTGAATTCATGAGTCTTAATTGTGAAATTTTCTATTCACAAATATTATTTAAAAAATATTTCTTCTATTTGCAATAGCAGACTTTCAAGCTAAAAATAAAAAGATATAATACGTCTAATCATCTGACATGTTTAGATCTATTTTTTAAATTTGGAAATGTTTCTACTATTTCAAGTCCTCAACTACTAATTCTGCTTGATCTGTATTTTATTTGGGTCATTCTATATCAAACTGGCCTTTTGTTGTAAATGTTACAAGCATTTAAATTGGCTTTAGCTTGTAAGGGATTTAACCTCACATGTTTGAGTTTGACTCTGATGACCTCCAAAGTCACGTTGAAGGTGAAGCAAAGGGAAACTAATGGATCCATGATTTTTGTTTTGTTTCAATTTTTCCTTTTGATTAGTTTCTGTGCACATTAACTACTTGAGAGTTCAGTAAATGTTGTAATACTCTTAAATTGAATGTCCATTGCCCAGTTTTCCAGAAATCCGCGCTCTTGCAGCTCAAACGTTTTAACATATAGGTTTAATTGATTTTACACAAAAGTATGGCTGGTGTACTTAAGTAAAAACAAAAACAAAACAACAAATACTATTTTTATGGAACTGTAAGCACTGCCTTACCTCTTTGAACTCCTGTATCTGCGACTGCTCGAACATTGAAAACACATTGGAACAGGACTTCTGATTCCCCCTCTGCCTTTTATTGGAGGCCTTTTTACTTGCCTGAGAAGATAAACAGGAACATTCAGATGCTTTTATGACAGTAGAACAAAAACTTAGTTAATAATCAGTGCCCTGAAATTATTTAAAATAATGCAAAACCTTGATTGACTCACCATGTCTGAATGAATGCATGTAGACTCTCGGCCAATTTGTGATGCTGCAGAGGGTTTTATGTTCAGCCCATCTTATCAGACACCCTCCTATCATAGCCTGCAGTGGGCCGTGGAGCCCCTTACATGGCCATGCGGGCTCTCTGTGTGTCACTGAGGTTGCCTGATAAGAGGTGAAGTATGCTGGATTCCTCTGGGCTTGGGAAGACGGATATAGAGCTGTGGACAGACAGAAGAAAGGGACCTCTGACCTTTGACAGGCAATCAAACAAACATTGCAAATGTCAAACTGACCCCAGGATATTAATGATTTAGATTATTTGGTCAGTAATCATAAAAACACTAAAATGTCACATTTGGTTTAATTCATTTTGTATTATTATTGTTGTTGTTTGAAGAGTTTACATTGCACAATGTGTCAAGATATTTGTTGTTTTGTTTTTCTCTTGTGTTTAATTTTTTATCATTTGTAGTCTTTTATTAATATTAATTATTCATTGTTTTCTCTTTCCTGATTAGATCAGCCTTTGTGTCAGCAAAGCAGCTTTTCTGCCCTGCTTCAGATCAGTCTCCTAGATATTTTATTTAGATCACAATTATAGTTTATTTCTTGTTCAGTTCTTTATTCCTTTGAGATCTATGTTCTATATTTTCCCCAGTTTGTTTAATCCTTGTTGCGTCTCTGAGCCGTTTCTCTCCCTCTCTCTCTCTCTCTCTTCCTCAGCCTGCCTTCTGCTCTCCCCTCACAGCTGCACCCTGTTTACAATTAGTATTGGTTGTTTAGTAATCAGGCTCCCAGTATATAACACCCTCTTTTTCATTCACTCCTTGCTGGTTTCTTCCATTAACTTCATGGTTTTCCCCTGTTTGTTTCTGCTGTTCTTGTGTCCTGGCTTGTTGTGTTTTCCTGTTGAATTATTTTCATTATTATTAAAGTTCTCTTCAACTATGTTCAACCACTACCTACATTAAGACACAGTTTTCCCATTTGTTGTGGTTTGATAATTGTTTTGACCTGCTGACAGACTTGAGATCTGACTAATTATTATAAAATATCTCATAAATAAAAAAGCCAAACACAAAACTTAATATTTAATTATGATGTTTTATTTACATTTAGGTATAAGTATAGTTCATCTTACACATAAGAAAAAAGTACACAGTACATGCTGACAAAGTAAATAGGATGTAAACGTACAATTTTAAATAATAACAAATATTTCAATGCTTACAAATAAAATTAGACAAGAAAGCAATGAATTTGAGTTAGTGCTGATTGATAACAGCTTTTACAAAATATTTGTGCTGTACATGAACTACTTTGCTACATTTTAAAATACACATTAAAATCGGTCCAAATAACCAGTGCATGTATTTTACATTAGCTTTTGTGGCGCTTAAAGTTTCAAATGCAACAGTAAACAAGTTGTTTAAGGTCAGAAACAATACAACCGCTACAGGATGGTATGACACTATAGACCGGCTGTATTCACAAGATATTTAAAGGCCTCTTTGTCCTCAAATCTGTGAGTAGCAAGTGCTCTATTCCACTGCTCTCAGTGGCAGATCTTTGGAGAGGATTTCACAAACATCCTAATTCTGAGCTTTCTCTGCTGTTCTTCATTGCATTCCTCTCTTCAGACCCATGATGCCATCTTACAAGCCACTGCAGAGATCAGAGCAGCTCCACGCCCGCTGCCCTCCTCCGACTGTAGGAAGGTTATCTCAGAATGAGGGGTGAGTTCCCTGACGACCTGGTGGAACCGGTCACGGAAACTGTAAAATAGAGGCACCACTGTTAGTATAAGGCAGTCTGTGATGAACTAATGTTACTTGGACTCATATTTGTACCTACTGAGACAGCTAAGACACTTACTAAGGGTGCAGCTTGTAGACGGATCCGTCAACTCCGACTGTGATCTTCATGGTATCTTGGCCGCGTCGCTCTTGCATCTGGTTAATGACCCCAGCGAGGCCTGCGCCACACATATGAGCAGAGCGAGTGGAGACGCTCTCACAGACCAGACGCACAATGTCGCAGTCCAGCTCAGAGGGAAGGACACCCAGAGAGGAGAGGATGTTGTAGATCTGCTTTCTGTCGCCAGAGTCACTAAAAAATAGTAAAAGGTCACATTAGAAAGCAGTTCTCAAAAATACATTTTCCAGTTTTTGTTTTTTTCTTTTTGTTTGTTTTGTTTTTTTAGAATCTTATTTAAACTGTAAAATGCTTGCAACTCAGCTACTTATGCCTTCCCAAAGCAGGGGCCCCAAAGAGAGACTTGAGATGTTTATTTTCTGCTTTATCATAGTTGTTATTTTCTTTTTTTTTTCAGTTTGGAAGTTTGAATCAAATTCTGCATACGGCCACATACAGCTTTTAATTGGGCCAGTTACATACACGGTCCCATTTAAGCTCTCTTCAATTTAGCAATACATAACAACTGTAGTAAAACACAGACCACTGGCTTTCCATAACAACATCTAATGTTCTCAGCAGCACTAAAGTTTCTTTTTTTATCTGCTTTAAAGCATCTGTAGCCTAGCTACCATTTCCTATTTCTCTGCTTGCATGCATTTTATGAGCGTTATCAGTGAAATGTTTTTCCATCACTCGCTGCTTGATGCTTACCTCTCAACCTGGGAGACAAAGCGCGTCTCGAAGCCGCCTCGTGTCTTGAGCTGCTCTGAGGCTTCGCCGTTAAACAGCAGGTTCTCATTCACCAGCTTCATCATGACGAGTCTCGCCAGCTCCCCCATGTACTTTCCACTGATAATCTTCTCATACCTGCATTAACAAGACAAGGCAGAGGGAGACGTGTTATTAAGAAGGTGGTGAAGAACAATAAATGTGTCATGATAATAAATGTATGTTTCAGTATGAAGGTTGGGAGACCGAGGATGACCGGATAAGGAAGGAGACATCAAGGCTAAGGCTGGACTCAGCAGCCAGCATAAAAGGTAAACAGCCATTAAGCTTGGAGGCGATACGGCGAGAAGCCGAAAGGGGTCATTAATCTGACATCTCCACCTGCCGACTGACCGACCACTGACGTACGAAAGCTCTGTCCATTTGCCTACATCCTGAGGAAAACAGCTGGTAGCTCGGCAACTTCACAGAGACTACAGTTTAGGGTCAGGTGATTTCTGCCATAGATGGATGCTTAATTCATAAAAACACCAGGAGATGGAGAACGGAGGGCGGGGTCAGAGTGGACGGCACGTGTCTTGACCCTTGTCCTGATTAAATTCATTAACTAATTTGAGAAGGTTGCAGGGCCTAATACAAACAACATGTGTGCCTGTGTGAAAGTGTTGAATGTTTAACTTTAATGCATCTTTTTTACTCACAGCTGGTGTCCAGGGTTGATTGAGGTCTCGTCCACCACTCTGTCGTACTCCAGCCTGAACTCCTCCAGCTCGCCCGAGTCTCCAAATGCTCCCCACTCAGTGTTCACACACATCCGGCCCTCCTCCCCCTCCACCAGCTCCACAGTCCTCATCTCCTCCATGTAACAGGCATTACAGCCAGTACCTTGAAGATTAACACACACACAAAAAAAACATTAGTTTCTGTCATTTTATGAGTTTGTGTCAGCTCAGTGTTTCCAACTCTCTCTTCTTTCCAAATAAATCTAATTAAAAAAAAACAAACATTTACAGTTATGTTGGAGAGCAAGCAAACAAAGCATTGAAGCTTGTCTTTTTTTCCCTAAAACTTGTTTCTGTCTTTTTTTTTTAAATAAATAAATAAATAAACCTTTTTTTTTAGTACTGGCTCAACACATCCACTCGTCTCACTTCAAGCTCCTTCCAAAGGTTTACAACTCTGCTGAGCATGAACATTTGCATGCGTTTACTGCTTCTTACCGACAATCATCCCGACTTCACAGCTTCTGTCCTCATAGTAGCAGGAGATCATGGTTGCAACTGTGTCATTCACCATGGCAACCACATCCATCTCAAACTCCTGCATGAGGAGAATGTAACATATTAGAATGTTTGCCCTGTATGCAGACGATAACGTTGTTTAAATCGAGAAAAATGTATGAATTTACTCACCCCTCGTCTCTTGATTGCATCTCTGAGCAAACCAACAACATTGTTCCCTTCAGCCCCTGAGGCCTTGAAACCTTTGGTCCAGTTAAGCAAGATTCCCTGTTTGAATAAAAAACATGAGCACCCTTAGTTGGATGAACTTTACAAAATGAGGGATGATTTTGTTTACTAACAGAAAAACTATATTTGTACCTTATCAAGGTCTTCATGTCGTACAGGGAAGGAGAAGGTGAAACCCAGAGGAAGCTTCTTGTGCTTGATGTGGTGTTTGTCCAAAAAGTCAGACATGCATTCTGCTATGTAGTCAAACAGCTAAAAGAATCAGAAAAATAAAAGGTATTAGAGCACATTCAGTTAAGCTGGTTGAATAGCCACAGATTCCAAGCTAAGCTGAAGTGTTTTGAGTATCTGTAAATAGGAAAAGGCAAACAAATGGTGGCGTAAAAACAAGATAAATAGCAGTTTTCACTGACCATTTCAGCAGTCCCCGTCATGGCATCTTCAGGGATGGAATACATTTGGTTCTTCGTCTCCACCTTGAAACTTCTCTCTTCGTCTTCACCCACTTTCACAAGCATCACACGGAAATTTGTCCCTCCGAGGTCCAGAGCCAAGAAATCTCCCACTTCTATCAAGCCAAAGAAGGACATGTTTTAATTTTTACATGTGAACTTCATAAACAATTGTTCACTTCAATTTTAAAGTTTTAAAGGATTATTTCCTTCTCTTCATACAGAGTGAATTCCTACCTGATCCCTCGGGGGTGGAGCAGACGTAGGTCGGAAGCATTTTGACGCTGGCCTCTTCGTGGGTCTCTAAACGCAGTCCTCTGTTCATTTCATGCTGCATCCTCTTCATGACTTCTTCCAGCTCCTCTTTGTTCAATCTAAACTCAGACAGGATCTGCTCCACCTGCAGTCAAAGAAGAAAAGAGGCGGTAAGGAGAAGCACAAAAGGAAATCTTTCCCAACTCTCAAGCTTTTGTGTTGGACAAGGTAAAGCCCAGGTCCTGGGCAAATTGAGGAGTACTAAAAAATCTTGAATTTTCCTTCACAAGGTTTAGGCAGTCCTAAACTTAAAAAAAAAAAAAAAGAAAAAAAAAATTCAAGCTGCAGATAGAAAGCACATCTTACCATGCAGATTTTTTCAACCACGTCACTGTAGCTACCAGGGAGCTTCATCATCTCGTCGAGTTGACTGCTGATGCACGGC